CATGATTTATTTATAAGGAATCTGCAATCTGGACTTTAAGAATTTCTGTGAGAATTCACTGACAAAAAAGAGTGAAAACGTCACTTGAAAAATCTGTGTGGAGGAGGAAGAAAACCTAAACCAAAATTATTTGTCTTAAAGGGTGGTAATATTACTGCCTTTCTTTAGCAACACAAGTAGATTTATAGTTTGGATTGGTTGCATATGCAACCCCTAATATATTTTTCAGTTCATTAAATGAATTGGCTGTACAGAGATCCCAATATGACAAATGTTAATTTCTAAGACTTTTACTGGGTGTGACTAAATAAATGTAAAAAATAAGGCTGGAGGCCTCTAGCTCTTCTCAATTTCTACTTGTGTTGCTCTGTGACGCTTAAGAGTAGCTGAAAATGCTCCCTTGATGGAGTCAGATTGCTTCTTTATTAATTCCATTCATAAATACACACTGGGTGTCCAGTGGAGCATTTCAAACCCTGATAATCAAAAGCTTATTGTGTGTTTGAGAAGCTTGAAAGGAAAACTGAAGTAAATACCAAGGGAGAGTAGAATAAAGTTAGAGTTTTTCTTTCTGAGTCAGCAGGAGGTCGTCTAAAGTATAATGTTATGCACAAGTTTTACCGTCAAGGCTGTGATGGGGGGTGTGAATATGTGTGCAATTACAGTAGTAAAATCAGTGTGCCCTGCATAACTAATGCAGCCCTCTGCAGATCACAACACCCCAGAGCAGCATTAACAGCTATCTGATGGCCTCTGTGTGTGTGAGACATGGAGGACTTGTACATTTATTTCAGCTCTGCATTTAGCTCTGTTCCACTCAAACACCACAAGGCAAAATTCCTGAGAAAGCTATTAAAGAATAGAGGCTGTTTGTTTTTTCCTCAGCTGTGTTTTTCTCCAAGGCAAAAATTCTTGAATGTGAATGTTGTGGTTTTCTGGGGGGAATTTAGCTTGTTGTATTAGTAAGGGTCTCTACTCAGTTAGTGTGTATGAAGAATGGAAAAGTGGTGTTAGCACTGTGGTGAGGCTGAGTTGCTTGAATTAATCGGGTTACAGAAATTTCTCTCCTTCCTTTAGCTCTAGGGCAGAGTTATAGGGAGATAAAAAACAGAGGCTCTTTTTTCCAGAGCGGCCAATTGCCAATTTTCCATATCTTCTTGTAAAGCTTCTTCAGTTCTCATCAGTTGAGGACTTGCATAAGCTCTCAGCCTACAGTTTTGAAAAAGCAATTTTGGTTTTGGATTCATATCACTTCTGCTTAACTGTAAGTATACTTTTACCTGGGTCAGGGTTGTGTCAAGACGCTCGGGACCTGTACGGGGCTTGGATCTCTTTTTGGGTCTTTTCTTAAATCTCAGATCTGGCAACAAATAAGAAACAAGTTCTGAGCTGGTAAGCATTGTGACACACTGAGTCTATGGCATAGATGGGTGAATTCTGTGAAGAAAATGATCTGATTCTTCAGCACCTCCCGTTATTATATGAAACCATTTCCGTGACGACATGGCAGCAGAGGATCTCACATGAGGAGCCATGAGAAGTACTGAGAACTGGAAATAAATACTTCTCTGAGATAAACAATAACATTGATCTTGGCTGAGCATAACACAGAATTTCTCCCAAGACCCCCCTGTCAGGTCCTTTGAAACCTCGAGGCCTAAGCAGGTCCATTTTTGGGCAGAATTGCTTAGTTGCTTTTCTTTGCAGAAATAGAAAACGATACTTTTTTCTTTTTTTTTTTTTTGATCCTCTACTAATAACCATGGATGATGGCAACGTGAGCGCCTTCTATTCGATTCTATTCTCCTGCACAAAGAAATAGAAAGATCTGGAGCTTCCAGGCCACTGCAGTAATAATAATGAGGTTTATTTTTCAGGCTGGAGAACAAAGGAAGGATGATGCTACTCTATACATCCACAGCAGGCAGAGAAGTTGTCTTTGTGATGCCAAGTGATTTGGTAAGACGAAAAATGGAGCATCACCACTAGACAGAAGTAAACTAAGTTATAGGAGAGTGAGGAGACAATAGGGTAGCAAAATCAGTGGTTTAGCCACCAAATCTTATTGTAGATAGATTTTCCTTAGTCTATTCTGTAGTTTGCATTTATAACAGCAAAGGACTTTTCACCTGTGTTGCTTATGAAGGTATGTGATCCCATTCTGCCTACTGCATACAGAGAAAGAGATCTCAAAAACTGTTCCCCATCACAGGGAGGAAAAGTGAGTGCAACAACTATCTTCACTTGGGCAAAACTGTACTTCCATCTGTTCTCACTGTAGTGCAGTGCTGGAATAATCTTTATGTTTTTGAGAATTGTGTGGCATGTCTTCTCCCAGACTAACATCAAACAGAAGAGTAGGGCTTTTACATTGGTGGGGTATGGCAGAGAGGATCAAGAGAAAACTAGGCTGGGAGAAAAATCTTGTCTTTTGATGCTTATCTAGAAGGGGTCAACAAAATAGAAGGTAAACTAAACCAGTGGGATTGGCAGTGTGGATGAGCAGACCTGGCAAAAGAGACACTTAACAATTTGGGTTCTGCCTGCTATTCCTCCACCAAGAAGAATGCACACTGCTAGAGCCCTGCACTGCTGTGGGGGTCTAGTGCAATCATTGTTCTTGGCAAAGATGGCCTGGCCTACAGAGCACTTGCTGCATCTGGAGCCACCATTCATTCCAGCACCAAGGGGAGGAGGTGACAGTGGCCCCTGGCTGGTGCACCAAAGCAGAAGATGTGCACAGGGATGTGCATGGGATTTGTGCTGACAAACAGGTGGCTTTAACTGCACACATCCTTTCTGCAACTAATCTTCATTTATGTGTGTCAAGGGTTGTTTTTTTACATGTCTCTCAGTTTCAAAGCAATCCTCTATATTCTCCAGCATCTGCAGACAAGTGCATAGGAGCTGAACTGTTTGTCAAGTCAGGCTGGGGTTTCTGTCTGCATGACAGAACTTCTTCATAAATATGAGTTTTTAAATAAGAAACAGGGAGAGGCAGCAAATCACTTGGGTTCAGACAATGGAAGAGGAAAAAATCCCACCTAAACAATAGATGTTTAAGTAGAAAGTGTTCCAGCTCCTTCTGACAAAGAGCCTCCAGAGGATTACAATGCAGTCAATGTTGCTTTAATTAAATTTAATGCTGTGTGAAATGCACTCTGAGAAACTTTGATGAATGACTGGGGCAATTCATGTGGCTCACTAAAGGGCATCCAGCTCTTGCAGGGGTGTCAAACCACGATGAATTGGTTAGTACAGGCATGTTTATAGACTGCCTAAGGAACCTTGTATCTGTGTGGTAATGTCAGAGATAATGTTATGATTCTCTGGACCTTGGGGGGCTTTGGTGACATGGTTAATGAGATAGCCCAGGGAGTGTCCCAGTAGGTTACTTGCAGACCTCCCACATCAAAAGGAGCAGCTTTGCCCCTTCAGAGCCTGCTGTCCGCTAGATCTCTCAGCTGGCCCTTGCTTTCTGTAGGGCCACTTTCTTTTTCCTACCCCTCCCCCCTTTTTTTTGGTTTTCAGTCAACATTAACTTTGGCTGCTGAAATTCAGAAGTTGTTAGTTTTTAATTTGGTTTCTCTTTGACCCACCTACACAATGGCTTTCAAAGATTTTTATAGGAACAACAACCTCCAGTTATACTCCTCCCAAAGCCTCAAAATGATGACAACAAAGCTTAAGCCAAAGGGGAAAACAAGGGAGGAAAAAAACCTTAACTTTCCCTCTTTCTGTTCCTTCTTTCCCCATCACAAAAAAAGAGGAATGTTTCTCCCATGCAGAGTTTGATTACAAAGCAATGGGCTATGAGAGTACAACTGGGTCTTTTATCTGCTGCACCCAAAAAAGTGAAGGGAAAAAAACCCACCAAAAACCAGTGGTTCAATTGATAAATGAAAGTCTGTTATTCATGTTTGATTTAAAGGGTTGATTATAGGCCTGTGGAAAAGGTTGTTTGACAATTTCTCTTTGTAAGGGGAAAAACCTCACTGTATGTTTGGTTTAAAGTGAGGTTAGATGGCAAGTAAACATTTCTTGTAATAATATATTGATCTTTGAAAAATTCTTGGTCCAGGAAGTAGATGTTCAGTATATTACATCATTAAAGGAGGCAAACATTAAAGTTAATGCAAGACTGCCTCAAATGATTCTTATAAAATATAAAAAACCTGAAGTTTTTATTGTACTTCTGAATTCTTAGAGGAAAGAAAAGTGTCAGGGCTCATGGATTTAATAGATTTCATATCTCACAGACCTAATGACAGATGCAAGCATTCTGCTTTGGATGACTGTATGTTTAAGACTTGTGATCTTGGGCAGAGAAATATGTACTAATGAGAAAACAAGATGGAATCTTCTGCAATGCCATAAGCAGCATGTTAATTGATTTGGCCTCTTTATGTTCACAAGTTCTGTTAGTTTAAGATGTGTGTTATGAACGTCAAGCATTCATCTCATTCTGTGTTTGAATTTAAGCATTTGTTCACATCAAACAGTACTGAAGAAATAGTAAACATAAGTGTGTACATGTCAGTTTTTGAGTACACTTATACGTGCACACTTAGTTTGAGTCAAATATTCACTACGATTTGCTTTCAAATCCCTTTGTAAAGCTTCTCTAGCCCTCAAAGTTTAAAAATAACTCAAACAGCAAAACACCTCACTCAAACAAACAAACAAATCCTGTCTAGCTGAGTCATCTCTGGCTACCTCATTGTGAAATAGCCAGAAGCAGTAACCTGCTTTCTGCAAAGCAGAAATGTGTTGGACACATTCTACCAGTGGTGGCTTCCCATTGCAAAAGTGGGGAAAAAGGATGGTGGTGACGATTTGTATGGTTAATGATGATGTTGACAGGTATTAGGTCTCTTTGTGTTTTGTGAAGGTCCTAATCACTCTTTTGTAAATTCATTAAATGTCTGGCTATTCTTTAAATGCTGTTGGAACCACATCAAGAGGTGAGCTCAAGAGGCAGCCATGCCAGAAGCAACATTTCTTTCAGAAGGTTGGGTCTTTCTTCTACTTTTTCTAAAAGAAGTATCTGTGCTGTTTATCACCAAGCCAGCACCACCTTTCTGGTGACATTGTGTCAAGCTGTCTATCCGGAGCCTTTTGCTCATTTCCTTCTGCAGGCAGGGCTCTTGTCTCTTGGTAGGGGATGACAACGGCTTCCTGGGTGACATTGTCAGCTCTGCGGGGGGAAAAAAATATAGCAAAATAATTTTCATTGAAAAATGATTTGCAGAGATTGAAAGCTGGTATTTGTTGAGAAAGTAAATAAATGCATACATGCAAATAAATACATTTCCTACAAATGTACATTTGCCAGAGTGCACAGAACAAATGCTGGATGATTAGAGTGAAGGGTTTTTTTAGGATTGTTGTAAAGGCCAATGTGGCCTTGAAAGGGCTGTATCATTTTTCCTCTGGTTGCAGCCCTGGGGAGATGCTGCTCACCAGTGCCTGAAGAGCTGGAATGGCCTCCTAGCCATTCCAGCTTCTACAAGGGAAGCTGGAAAATGGGCAGAGCCAAGCCAGACCCTTCCTTTCCTCTATCTCTCTGTTATCTGAAACAACTATCCAGGTAGAAGCACTTAAAGGGCATTTATTTAATAAGTTACTTGCTGCTGGCCAATATTGCTATAATGAACTTGTAACTAGATCAGAGAGGAAGCAAATGCCAGGTTTGGTTTGGTAACTTGTCTTGCAAAGAAGAGGGGGAAAAAGGCAGAATAAGCTGAGTGGTTTCCAAGACCCTAATCTATTTTTAAATAGGTCTCTCTGAAACTGTGGCAGCAACAACAATCATTGCTGTAGTTAATGGGCTGTCAGTGTATCCTTTATTTGAATGACTGTTTTCTGAATCAGAAGTTAAAGACACTGTGTTGTTGTCACCCAGTCAATGGCAGTGAGTCTAAAAAAGGACCTTGAAGCCACTCTGAGCAGCAGCCTCTGATGGCTTCAAAGTAACAGCAAGGTCAAGGAAAAGGCAAACACACCTAACAGTGTTCCACCAGTCTCACCTAACACACCTAACAGTCTCACTTGTGCAGCCACAGAGAGTGTTTTTGTCAGCCAAGCTGGGAGCATTTCTTTATTACCATTAAAGGTTGGAATGGTGCAACAATTAATAAATCTGGCTCTAGGAGAGAGTTGTTACAGAAGTGAGCTTGAGGAGCCAGGGCTATACATGATCCTGATGGTGGGCTGGTGGGAATTGCTGAGTGCTGCACCAGTATGAGATGTGGTCAGTGGGGGACTCAGAGGGACATCTTGGGGCAAGACAGCTTCCTCCTGGGGCAATCAGGGTCTAAAGCTCTTGTGATCTCCTGCGGATATTCCATGTCTTGGTGTTTGAAGGAGTACAGGATGGCTTTTGTCTCTTTGACAACTGTGAAGGGTGAACATGGATTGAAATAGGGAGATGAAGTGACATTCCAGGAAAGCTGCTGTGCTGGGTTACTAAGCTGTTCGAGAACTTGGGATCAATTCACTCTCTTGTTATAGTCTGTCTTTTTCCAATGATCCTTACAAATAAATGAAAGTCTCCCTTTTTAGACTGTTGATGTCTGGGAGGAATTAACTGGATGAAATGAGGTTGGACTGGGTGATGCTCAGCTGGTAAGTGCCTGTATGGCAATGGCGACAGGCAGTCAGAGAGAAATTAAAGAATGCAGAGGGGAAAACATGTAGTAGTTGTTACACACCCCTTAAGCAGTGCTAAAGGAACACAAGGTCTATTTTGCTAGAGGCAATAGTACCTCAAATGTCATTCCTAGTCCATTCTTGCTGGGCCTGTGGGTCAGCCCCTACCAAGAGACAGTTTGACTTCACCACGTGGTTGCAGTCGCTGGGTCTGACAAGGTGGGCTGGAGCTAAAGTTCTTTCTTTCAGTTGAGCCCTCCTTACTTTGACATGTTATAACTGGACATTTAACATGATTTGAACATAGGGGTTTTTTGTATTCCATCTCTTTGCATGGTTTGAAATTCATTTCCAGGCTGTGATCTAATGGCAGTAATTACCTCAGAAGTGCATACAGTACAGGCTATGTTTATTTTTGTTCCAGCCAAGGCAAATGATTACAGGTCTTGGCTTCACTTCAGGGCTCAGCTCTGCTGGGAGAGCCAAACAAAACATCTACCTTTGCAATCTGGCAAGCAGGTCCTAAATACCTTACATGAATGTTTGAATTAATGATAGCGAGAGCAGGACAGCACAGCCCTTTGAGTCTTGGTGTTGCAGTGGACTGCAAATTTTCTAACTCTGTTGTGGAGGGACCCAGCTTTGTCATACAGTGATTATGATCCCAAGTATCAAATGCAAAGTTGCCCACCAATTATCCTGAGTTTCTGCAGTGTCATCTGAGCAACATTGACAACAGCATGAAAAGCATGAGTAACAAAATACCTGTGAGATTTGCCTGTGTGTATGTTTCAGTAGCTATAGGAATAACACAGTCTATTACATGCAAAAATTAGCTTGCATAATTGCTTGCTTACAGCTCATGACAATCATAGCTGTTCCTTCTTTATGTATTTTCTGGCATCTGATGTGAGAGGGTGGATAAACAAGGAGAACAACCTGCTTTATTCCTGTTGAGCAGTGTGTGATGATAAAGCCCACCCTGCTTACTCTGTCCATAGAGGGTTAACTGAGAACTTTGTGTTTGGTGTTTCTGTCAAGGTACAAAGGATTTAGTTTAATTCTTCTGCTTAAAGAATTGCAACATAAAAATCAAGTCCTTAATTATGTCTCTAAAGAACAAAGGAGAAATTTTCATCCTTCCTTCAGTTTAGTTTCTTTCTGATGCATACCAAAATATGGCTGGATATTTTGGGGGAACACATGGAAAACACATGAAGGAGTTTTGTGAATCCTAGTTCTAATCTGTAGAAAGGAAATGTGCCCTGTGAATAACTGACAGCATTGGGGGATCTCTTTGTAAGCACAACTGATGTGATGTGCAGATTCCATGTGCCCTTTTCTACCTTGTAGTTATTGGAAAAACCAAGTTGTAGAATAAACTAGAGAGTGTCCCTCCAAATAGGTACCTGAGTACCTATTTACATTTCTTTACATTTCTGAGTAAAGAAGTGAGATGATGATAGTTACCTTGAAGCTGCCACAAATTTCCGCAGAAACCAGGAGTACTCAGCACATCTCAAGTTCATGAAACAATTTAAACATTTTTTTTTTTAAAGTAATCCTGACTATTAACCTTTGGAAGTCTGGATTCAAGAGACCTACAAATACTCAAAACCACTGAAAAGAGAAACTCTTGCTTTAAAAGGTTGACTCAGTTTCTAGGAAAGAGAGATGTTCTGGCTGCTTTGTTTTTTAACTCATTAAACTTCATCAGCTGAAGTAAAGTTGCCCTGAGTTAATACTTGAAAAGAGAAGATCAAATTCTGCCCACCTTGACTAGAAAATGTGCTTTTAATAGTTTCGTATTTTCTGGCTTTCTCACTTGACTTCACAATCTAATTTCTCTGCTACCAGAGATCCTCTCAGTCACATCCATGTTAAGAATTTAAAAGCAATATATATTTAAATGCAAAACAGTATAGGTGAGTGTGTGCTCCTGTGAAAAAGTATATTTAGGGGCATATACACATATACATGTAGTTTTACTAAGTAAGAGGAGATGATACAGTGGTGATGAGTGAGGTCATGTATTATATTTTCAAGAATTTTGAATGGTTTCATGAATGATGAAACTTAAGAAACAATTTTAGAATATATAGAATTACTGGCAGTCACAGCCTTTCCAGATTGTGTTGCTGGAGCCTTAGATATAATTAATTTCAAACAGTGCTAGCTATAGTTATATAGTAATGGTAGATGCTTGTGGAAAATGCAAAACCACCTACAGGCACACAACTGAAATCCCTGCTTGATTTGAGCCAAAACAAGAAGGTTAATAAAATGGTCTTTTGCATGCTTTCATGAGATCAGAAGCAGTACCTTTGAAATGGTAGCATAGAAACTCTATAACACCTTGTGTAGTGCTCATAAAAGCAGGAACTATTTTGTAGGCTTTCCAGGAAGGAGCAGTGGAAGATCTGAGAGCTTCAGAGGTGCTGGAGCTTCATACCTTCCATTTCACTTCAGTGGCAATGCATCATGAGAGAGGTTCACAAACCTTGCATGGGTTTGTCCCAAGTATTTTGAACATGAGAAGGAACCTGAGAAGCTGTTGCTCTTCTCTGGAAAGAAATTGCTGTATTTGCTTCACTGCTGTTAACAGCAGCTGGTATAAAACCAAAACTAAAACCAAGTGTTAGTGGATCTGTAATGGTGCCTCAAAAACTCCAACCCTGATTAAAAATAAATAAATCTAAAATTTGCACAAACATACATGTAGCTATACTGTGCTTTTCCTTGAGAAAATGTAGAACACAGCCTGAGGGTGGTTAGCACTGATGGGAGAGCAGTAAATTTTCTTAGATGTGAGGTTTTGTTGCTTTTACTTTGAACATGGATGAACAGGCAAGCCTTTGAAGGCTCGAGTGTTCCTCCAGCATGAAATCAGAGCAGCAAACTTTGCTCAAGAGGAGTAGTTGCTCACAACTTAATTACATTGATCAATGAGATGATTTAGAGTTAGGAGGGATGTGTGCAGCAAAGGTCAGAATCTGGGAAGAGCTCAAAGCTGGTTTAACACGCTCGTTTCCTCAACTCATGCTTCACAACAGCTTCCACAGAGATCATTAAAGTCAGCAAATGCTGAGATCTTCAAAACATTACAGACATCTGTAAACTTCTTTATCTAGGAAAAAAATTACGTGTTTTTTCTTTACATCCACCAGTAGCTGAGCCAAGCTTGTTTCAAGCAAGGAAGACTTGTAATATCAAAGATTTACTTAATTTTTATTGCTGTGCATAAAACATCTGATAGAATTTGCTGAGAAAACCAAAATGCCTCTCTTTGTTTGCACAAGCCAAAGGAAAAGTACAGTGTATCCGTCTGCAAACGAACATCAAAGCCCTTTTGCAAAACCAGGGTTGGTGACCTATATTTGGAGAACCAGTATGAGAGCCGCCTGTTAGAGAGTCATGTGGGTCTCTGCACTTACCCAGCATAATCCTGATTGGAGCCAGGTCTTTTCTTTTTTCTCTTTATTATCACTTTGTGGTTAACATTTGTTGATGAGTAGGATTAACAGCACATTTTCACTGACATTTAGCTCTTTTAACAAACTCTCTTCAGTCAAAGGTTGCTGGCCTGAAAAAAAGAGAAAAGTCATTAAGAAAACAAATCTTTGCCAGGAGTTGATGCTAAACGTGCCATCACTTTGTGTGAGTTATTCACTGTATATGAAATTTATTCCACAAGACTTTGACCTTGATGTTGATTAACCAGAAATCCCTTCTTGTCTTGTCACTATTAACAGCTTTAGGTGCCTCAAGTGGCCTCTCTCTCTTTTCTTTTTCTTTTCTTTTTTTTTTTTTTTTTTTAGCATCCATTAAGGAAGGCTTTTCCCAATTTGTCATTTCTTTCATAGTGCTGCTCATTGGCACAACCTCTTGAGGCACAAGGAGTCAGGGTGTTCCTTTAGCCTAGTGATGTATCTCAGGGGAGACTTTTACTGTTTCAGGCAATTCAGTCCATTATCCAAAAAGCCTGAAAGGGAAATGGGATTCCTCCCTGTCTGTATTCCTGTTTCTGAGGCCTGTCAGTGGCAGTAAGGCCACTTTGTGACTTTCTGGGCAGGACAGAGTTTCTGCACTAAATCTCGTGAGGCAAAGAGGGAAAATATTATGGCTGTTCTTTACTTGTTCAAGGCTCAAAAGGGCCTCTCTGTAGATGTTGGAGATGGAGCATCAGTAGATTGCCCTTAGGTCACTCAGCTTTGAGTAGACCCCAAATATGGAAGATGGTTTAAAACCACCTCCAGCTCAGTATAAACACAGGATCAGAGCAAGAACTGAACCTTTTTGGTGCCTGCTGTTAAGCATGAAGCCATTTACGGAACAGAAACACTGCAAGTATTCACTTTTGCTGACAATTTCTGGAAGGGGTGAGGGGGAGAGATCAAGGGAGGAGAAGCACACCAAAGTAAATGCTGGTTGTGTTTTTTTGTATTCTCTTTGAGTGACATCATATAGTGATAAATTGAATAGACTGGAAGGATTGAAAACTGGACTTGTTCTAAAGCTGGCTAGGAGTGGGTTGCAAGTTATGCAGAGTATAGCTGGCACCTCTTTTTGTGAAGAAAGCCTGGCTGCCATAGACTTTGTGGTCACTGGCATGGATTCATTTGGTGCTTTGTGATTTTGCTGCATGACACTCACCTCTGGCAGTCTCTTGGCACTCTTTTATGGTGAAATATGGTGTTTATCACCACAGCTGTGTGAGACTGTACCCAGTCTGGAAAGCTTTCAGGATCATTGTCAGTCCATGTCTCCCTCTGTTTCCCAGTGGTTATACCATGTGAGTGCATCACTCACAGCTGACTGTTCCTTCCATAGCTTACAAGCAATCCTGCAAAATCAAACATTCAAAAAAGACATGCTGTCATTAAGACAACTTAAATAATCTTATTTCTGCTCCTTCATGCATATATGAAATATGTATGTCTGTGGCATGAGTGGCTGCTGCCACACTCCCAATCCCAGTTTAGCTCTTTGTCACATCCTTCAGTGGGGTGGATGATGCAAAGCAACCACTCCTTCTTTGTGCTTCAGTTGCTAAATTCCCTGGAAAGGCCAATGTAGAACCATTAATTTCTTAAGGGCATTACTAGGATGCTACTGAAAGTGGTATCCCTATGTTATGTGTAACATTGTTAGCAATGGATGATGTATCAGACCTGGAAAATTCCTGTCTCTATGGAGAGCATTAATGATGGAGTGGAGTTGGGAGAACATTGGGGTAGGGAAAGTGAGTGGATACAGGTGAAAACCATTGTCCAGTTCTTATTTACAGCACAAATGTACACATGTTTTGGGCAAGTGTAGGCAAAACAATATCCTTAGCAGGAAATGTGAACAGCTATTACAGCTACATCCACAGGAGAACTCAGCTAGCCAAATACAAAATTATGAGATCATGAGAGAAATACACAAACAAAAGCACTGAAATACTCTTTGTGATGTAAAAACTGATTAACCTTAATGGTTTGCGTTTGTCAAATGCTTTGCTTTTAACAGAAGTACAATTTTTTTTCATGAAACTGCCTAAGTGACAAACTTCTGATCAGCTTTGATCCAGATAGATATGGTTGATTTTTAAAATAAATTATTGTGTATACTAATTTGCTAAAAGTTTTCAGGCTTGTCTCCTAGCAGTATTTTTTCAGTTTGGTCACTGCTTTATTTCAGGCTTTGTTTTTCAGGGCCTTGTCACACAGGACCTAGTCCATACAGTATTTATTACTTCTTTAGCTTTAAAAGGCTCTATTTACCTAGTTTTCTATGATTTCCTGTGCTACATGTGATGTCACTGTGTTATTTGTAGTAGCATAATATCCAATAATCATACTAATTTGACAAGCACTATTTGAAGGGGGAGAGAAGCTGCTTCACTGCATGGCTGCAGCTGATACTAGCTGATCATCTCTGCTATCTCCTGCTTTCTGTGGTTGAACAGGAATGCAGCATTTCTGCTGATGTTCTTTCCTGCATGTCTACAAGTAAAATGTAGAAGCAATTGTTGTTTTCTCTGTAGAGCTCTGGGAACTGCAGAGCATGACCATTCAGACCATGACTCCATTAAGAAATCTGCAGAAACTGAGCTGATTTTCTCCTCGCATTGAGCAGTTTCTTGGCTGGTTTTTAAGAAAACAGTCCATTGTTTCTCTTCTTTTTTCCTGTGTGTTCTCTACCTCTTGAGAGACCCCAGGTTATTCTTGTTTCCCTTTGTCATATTACATGTGTAAATCTTTAAACTGAAATGGAAACCCTGAGTTCAGGACATCTTGCCTGGAGATTGATGAGGGCTTTGGGCTCTGATGGTCCAGGCTGCAATGCCATGGGACATGCTCACGGCAGCACATATTTAGTAACAGGTTATTTGGTACCTTGCCCTAGGTCATCTTTCATGTGTTTTTTCCCACATACTATTTGATTTCCTTATAATAACTATAGAGGAAAAACGGGCTGATAGAACACCAGACTTCTTTGTAAGTAATTTCTATTTCTCACAGCTTTCACCAAACACCTGGAAAAACCAGATGTCAGTGATATCATAGGCTGGCAATGTCCTGAACCCATCTTACCACCACTATCACCATTACCACCAAGATTCCTGTTTGGGCATTGCCAAAAGGCAGTTTTGGTAATGGACAGCTTCTCCTGATGACCTTGCCATTGGCACTGAGGTTTTAAAAACATTTGAGGCTCTGGTAGCAATAGGATGTCACAGTTCTCTATTAAATGGCCAAGTAAGACATCATCTGTTCATCTTGTTAAATACATGCTCAAGGAGAATTATGCAACCAAACTGAATTACTGAAGTTTGGGGTTTATTTAGCATGAACTGTCTTCCAATTTCTGCTTTGTGAATGAAGACATTATAAGAAAAACATCAACCAAATTATTTTAACATAATACAAAGCTGAGGACCTAAATGTACGTGAACAAGCTGAGGGAATTTTAGAAATCCTTGTAGCTTTCTAACTGGATGGTTTGCTAGGGAGCTGAGATGAACTCTGCAGCACCTGGATATTTGCTAGCATGGGTTGTTAAAGTATTAGAGAGAGGCTCTGACATACATAAGGTACAGATATGTGATGTAACTATAAAAACACAGCCAGGAAACATGAGACATGAGTATTTTCCTATCAATTTCTGGCATAATCACCATTATCCAGATGTTTTCCTCTTTCTTGAGGGAAGGGGGATGGAGGTCTGAAGTTCAGTTGCAAATTCCTGATGGCAGCAACAGGATGGTGCACATGTTACTAGAGAAGACGTACTGATTTCTCAGGCTTTTTTTCCATTAGCTATGAGAAAATAAGGCACGCTATATTTAATTCAGAATTAGCACCACTGCTGATATTCTTGACATTTCTGACACCCTGCTGGGACCTGTTGTAAGTGGCTTTTTTGGTACGTGTGGATGAAGAGGCTCAGGCTGCACAGAACACAGCCTGTGCGGCATTGGCTCCCCTGTTGATTTAGTTTCATTTTCTATTTTTCTGACTTGCTCAACTGCCTGTAATGGCATGAAAGTATTCTTCTGATCTTGTTTCCATGTGTTCACTAAACACAGTTCTAGAATTTATGCCAAAGGAACATTCAGAGTGAGAGGCAGCTCTACGATTTGTTTCAAAAATCATTGGCTAATTGCATACTCGATTGAGCCTTGTTTATAATAACCTGTATTGAGAGAGCCTCTGCTGGGAACTTAATGCAGAAACTCTGATCAGACAAATCCATTCAGGAGAACTACAGGAAGTCCTACTTTGGACAGCAAGTACAGACATGCACCTGTTATTACATCCATATTATGCTGTCAGAGTCAGAATATTTCCTGCCCAGAATTGTGTTCAGGGGTACAGACAGCAACAGCTCAGGACATAATGCAAAAGAGTTGTGAGGGAAGCACAGACACTGTCAACTAGAGGAGTACATGGCTATGCCTCCCTCAGGAATTGAAGAACTAAACTGCTGGAAAATGCTTTAGCTGGAACATTGATGTCTCTGCAGGAACAGTCTCAAAAATTTCAGATTGATACGTCCTGATACCCACTCACTGCTAAACTCTGTGTCCATGCCAAGGTCTTGCTTACCAGACCAAAATAATCTCTTTACCTCCACGCCTTGTCACGTTGTCCCCTTTCATCTGCCGAAACATGCTTGCTAAAATAGACTTCAGTTTCCACAGGTCAGGATAACTGACCTTCTCACCCCTCCATCCTGATTTTGTGAGCCCTACCAAAACTTCATCATCATCTTCCAAATCAGAAACAATCTCACTGCTTCAACTGATCTCACTTAATTTCTGCGCTCATTACCTTCCCATTCTTGCTGCTTGCTGTTTCCAATCTGCAGGCATGTTTATGTGGCTCTAGCTGAATATGAGTGAGTATTAGTATTTCATACACAGGAAGGAGGAAAGAAGGGGAAAAGATTATCTGGAATAAGATCTTAAATAATTTGATTTTTCTATAGTATTGTTACTAAAGAAGAGTTAGAGCTCACCCAAATTAGAGGACAGTACTTTGTCATTGAGAAAAAATCTGTACTAGTGACAAGCAACAAAAGTATATTTGCTCCCCACAGAGTGCCAACAAATTGCATCAGTGAAGTCTTCTTAGAGCTGACTTCCAAAGAGAGTGACTTAGGGGGAAAAGTCAATCTAATTACATTTCATTAGGCTGGATTGGGTAGTGAGGATTGGCTACATATACTGACTCTGCTGTCCTATGAGGCACTGACTGTTACTTAATTCAAGCCACAATTTTAAATGAACTGTGGATATTGCAAGCTTCCAGGTGTTTAGGGTGCTCTTATAAAATGATGTTGTCTTGGACATCAGTGTGCAGCTGGTGACCAGCTTTTTGCACACTTCTTTGAGAGGAGGATTAAGTCCCTTCCTGCACCTTCTCATTTCCCATTCTCCTGTCTGGAAAAGTCTGTGAGACTTTTATGGATATAAATGGTCATCAAACCATTCATTTGTCTCTACAGGGGGCATTGTATATGTGAACACCAATAATTAACAAATTAATTAATTAATCTTAATTAACAAATTAAGAATATTACGTATTAAACTTTGCTATAACAGGAAAAGCAAATTCTTATCAAAGTCATCAGAAGCATTTGAAGCAAGAAATGCACATGATGGCATTGCATACTGAGCACAAAGTAATGATGAATGGCTTACAGTGCAGGCAGTTTTTTAAGCACAGGATTGACAAGAATCATGTAGAAAGCAGTCAGCAAAATGGTGGGCTTAATGTTCAGGAAAATACCTTTCCATGGTCTGCTGTCTTCTTCCAGTATGTAGGAAGGGAGCATGGTGCAGGCTGCTTGGTTATTTCCTTTCTTTTACAGAAATCATGAACATTTACTATCTCTCAGTCCAAAGCTAGACAGCACTTTGGTCATTTGAGTTCTCTGTGTTTGGCTCAATGCTTTGTTAGAAAGGACTAATTTACCAACCTGAATGTGTCTGATTTTTATTGGAAAGGAATTGCAAGACAAGGCTGATAAAAGCTTTCTCCATTCCATCTCAGTTGTTTTTGCTTTTTTCCCCCTGTATTATATGTTTGAAGAAAAATATTGAGTAACATACAATGCACAACACCTCTGGCAGATACTGGTACTTCCCGGCAGCCTGAAAGGCAGAAAGAGCTTTGAATTTTATAGACAGAAAGACAAGAATTAATTTACCTTATGCTTTGAACCATATCAGTGGCTAATAGTTCTTCCAGCATAAGAAGAACCAAAATGATAGCCTGAAGTTATTTTTGGCCCTCATTTCTAACTATCAGTGAGCAATCTCAGAGATGGAAGCTGCTTGGTTCTAACCTTGTGAGATCCACCTTACTTTGGGCCTCGCCAATCCATAGTGCCTATGTGAAACGAAAAATCTAGTGGCCTAGAGAAATTGTCATATACAAGCAAGCCAGCTGTTTTGGTTTTTTTTAAACCTCATTGCAAATTGCCTCAGATTTCCTGAGGGAAGAGAATCAGGAAGGGCGGTTCCACATGTATCACCACTGTTTTACTCACAGATCCTTTGGATTGACAGCATCTCAGAAGATCCTTTGGATTGACAGCATCTCAGAAGAAAATTGCCTGCACTTGCCATGCAAGTTGCAAAATATACAAAAATCGTCTTGGTAAATCTTTGTAATACAGCTGGAAGAAAATTTCCTTCCTCCAGTGAGTATTCATTGAGTTTCATTTGAATGGAAGACAAGACAAGGCTGATAAAAGGTGAAACACTGGAACAGGTTTCACAGTGCCCACAGAGGTAGGTGCCCCATCCCTGGAAACATTCTTGGTCAGGTTGAATACGGCTCTGAGCAACCTAATCTAGTTGAAGTTCCATGAACTCTTCTATGAAAAAGCAGTACTAGACTAGACTAGTTGTCATTAAGCATAGTCTCATTACACAATTGTTAAACATAATTTTCAGTACACTTGTATTTTTCACTTTTCACCAGTTCCTCTAGCATACACACTTTCTCTGACAAGGGCACTGTACTTCAGCCTTTTCCACAAATATACTGCCTCCTATGTAGCCATAGGGTGTCTTCATAAAACAAGCCCTCCAATGTGATGGAGTTATTTCCTTGTCTCTCTGAGCTTTCTTATTGCTGCAATTCCCTTCTCATGTCACCTGGTGGCTGCTGAGCCCTTCTGCAGCTCAGAAGGTGCCATTTGCTCCTGGGAGCAGCAGAAACCTCCAAAGCAGTCCCAGGAGATTTAAGGATTATAATAGGGTTATTTATTTTTTTTACTTAATTCCTAGTGATGGAATCTGACACCATAATATTTATGTGAGCAAAACAGACAGTGCTTTTCCATGTAAAAGGAGAAAGAACAGATATAAATATTCTCATTTTGAGTTAACTCATGCTATTTTCACAAAATTCCTCTTGATAGATAGTTTGAAGTGAAAATCAGGCCATTAGTGTGGGGAAATACTCGATTCTTTATTAACAACCTCCTCTGCACAGCTGCATCAGTAACTAAATTGACTGGGTCCAAAAAGGACAAGGTAATTATTTTCAACAGTGTTCATTGTGATCTTCACCCAAACTGGGGACAATTCAAAGCAAAATACTGAGCAAAAATTACTCTGCAACAAGCCTAATGTCGGTAATTTCTTAGTTTCTTTTCAAAGGGTCAAGAGGGAACTCTGTCCCGCATAAATGCATAAATGAGGGAACCATTTTCATCCTGTGACAAAGATGCCAGTGTGGGTTGAATTGGATGGAAAAGTGTGATTATTAGTCATGAAGCTTGTGGAGTGATGAATTTGCCTAGTGTTTAGTTTTTGGTGTGTTGTTTCATTGTTTGTGTTTTTTTTTAATTCCAGTAAACTCATCCATCGGATCCTGATTTCTTTTTGGCCCAGTATGGTTGTTAGAGGTGGGTGTTATAATGACATATCTTCTTGATTAAGGACAGGTGGTTTTCACCCTTGTCTGTCATCAGCCTGGTTTACAACAAGAGGTGTGAAAAAGGCACAATTTTCCCACAGGGCAAACACACGTTTGGATGAGGTCTTGTGTTTAAATGGCACATAATTAATAGCTGTAAAGAGTCTGCTCCTCTAAACATAGCACGGTGGTGATTTTCACTTGAACAAGTACTACCAGGGGAGAGAGTTTCACAAACAAGAAAAGAAGAAAATATTTGCTCAGGAATTTAAAGTCAGGAGTCCTGTTCAGAGACAGTGTGGTGTGTCCTCTTACCTCTTTCAGGTATTTCTATCAATCTGTTTTGGAGGATCTTTGGAGGGATGACTGAGATGTCTTATCTGGGGGGCTGGAGAATGGGAGTGGGGTGTGCAAGCACACAATTGCTCTTGATAAAAGTCTACCAGAGCTGCAGCTGGCACAAGAAGGGCACTTCTGTTTTCTTGAGACAAAAAATCCTGCAGAAGTAGTTGCCAGGATATGACCTTGCAGGCCTGAGGACAGGGAAGGCCAGCTGGCACTAGATCCAGTGGATGACATGTATCCCCCTCTCCATGGACAGAGTGCTTCAGGAGGGGGCCTTGAGTCCTCCAGAAACAGATACTGAGCAAATAGAACTTGTACAGCTCTTTCTGCAGGCTGCTTCTGGCCAGCAAAGAGCACAGAAGTATGTGAGGGAAGAAGGACTGCTTCTTTTGAAGCATGGCTCATTGTGAAAAAGGTGCAAGGGAGTAGAAACAAAAGCTCTACTACTTTTTAATTACACCCACCCCCCACCCCCAAATCTTTGTGGGAGGGTCATACTCTCCCTGCACAGGGTTTTCCTCCTGATAGCATTATTTCAGTGTTACATTTCCCTTGCTCCTATGATAGTGCCTTCTTGGTTGTCTTTCAAGACCCTGTCAGATTTGAGAACTTGCAGTCAATCCAGTACTTTCCAGTGCTGCAGTCTGGGAGAAGCTCTCCTGTGCTCACAGGTGCACTGAGCTGCGGTAGGGAGAGCACTTCTCTTTCTGCTCCACTACAACAGAGCACCTCCCCAAAAGTCTGCTGGCGCTGAGAGATGCTCCTGCTCTGCTTCTCCTTGGTACTGACTCTTCTCCAGTGGTGAGCCCAGTAAGGGTTTGGGTTTATCTTCAGCCAGCTTTGTGCAGCACTGGGGGGTAAAGGGGAAGAGGTGGGCTGCAGTTGGATGAGGAGAAGACTGTCAGAGCCAGGGCTTTGAGGGCCAGCTCAGCTAGGACAGGTCTGCAGGACAGGGTTATGATTCCGCTAGGAAATCCCTGGAGCACCCCTGGGTTTGGGTGCTCTGCCTGTTTCTGCCTAGACCACTTGTGACCTGCATTTTAAGTCCTTTTTCTTCACTGCTCATTTCACTTATGACTCTTGGCTTTCACACAGCTCTCAGAGCAGCTAAGGCTTGTTCTGTGAGGAAGGTGTTCCTCTTCCTCCAATCTTTATTTTAGATCTGTGTAGGTTTCTAAGGAGCATATACACTACCTTCCACCCCAACCCCTTTGTTCCTTCCTAAAATTACACTTCATTTTCTGCACTACAGATGTAGAGACAGCCAACTTTCTGCCTGAAGTTGTGAAATGGTTGGGATGGAGAAATAGAGAGGCAAGACCTTAGCTGAGACTTGCATGTGGGAGGGAGGAGGTGAAGGGGGGCAAGGAGTATTCATGGAGCCCCATATAGAGGGACCAGCAGCCTGTGTGGCACAAAAGCATTTTAAACTTGCAACAGGGGAATGCTCTATGGGTTGAAGGCTTCAAAGAGAGAGCCTGCCAGCTACAGAAAACAAATCTTTAAATAAAAGGGAGAATGATGAGAAAAAGTCTGAGCTGCTCACTCACAGGAAGAGAGCCGGCTTCACTCAGCCTGGGTGGAAAACTGTGTAATCCCATTGGCTTTGGGGACATTGCAAGGGCTTACAGCATGGAAGAACTTAGCCTGCTAGGTCCAATGGCCTTATTCAGGCTGAATAATTCTTTTGTCCCCTCTCTGCATCCTGACTGCAGCAGTAGGCACCAAAATGTGTGTTGGTTTTGGTTCCAGTGCGTCAAGTTTTACTGGGCTTGTGTGAAGGACCCTTATTAAAACTGCACTGCTGAGCTGAAGGGAAAGTTTCTTCAGCTTTCCAAAAAATTCTCTTTCTGGGCAGACTCCAAGCTTGGAAAATGTCAGCCTGAGAAGTGAAACATAAGGAAAATTACAAGCAATGGAATACAAGGAGATGAAATAAATCGTTTATCACTGATAGTAGACTACCAGCTATATTACACATTTTAAATGGAGTTCTCTTTTAACAAAAATAATTATAAAAAACACTTTCCAATTAATTGAAAGAACTTATTGCTCCAGAATATCAGTGAAAACCCTGTCTTGAGAAATGTCCTTTAGTTAAATACACACCAGCCCTAGTCCCTATGTCTGTATAACTACAAGCATATTTTGGTTTTAGAAGAAATTTTTAACATTCATATTTTCACCACTGCTTACCTAGTAGATTCTTGATGGAGCGAGAGGGAGCTTGAAATTATTCTGGCCCCATCTTGCATCCTGTGCTGTCATGACAGAAGCTGATGGCACCTGGGTTCTCCTTGAAACTTCTACAGGTTCCATGTGCTTCTGTTTCTCTGGCTGACCCTTAAATAGTGGCCTCTGAGCTTCTGATATGAGAGTGAGAAAAATACACAAGAGTTAGAAAGCCCAGTGTCTCTCTAGGTGCCAAGATTTTCCTGTTCTCTGAGGTTTTGTTCCAGAATAATTTCTCATGTTTCTTTATGTTCCAGTATGATTTTCTTCTTCCAGGAAGGCATTACTTGATTTTGGGATTTTTACCTTCAGTGCAAGCATATGATTTCAAATACCTTCCTCAGACTCCCACTGTAGTTCCTCAGAAATGTAATGGGCAGGTAAGCATGGGAAAGAATTTGATTATAGTTGAAAAGAAAGACAAAACAGATCTGATGGTAAAGCTATCCAGCATGCTTTAGGTTTCTCTCTGTAGTTTAGGTAGAAAGGATTGTTCTTCTGCCAGTGTAAATATATAAATTTTAAAAGAGATGTCAAGGACTGCTTAACATACAGACAAAAAAAAGTTTCACACATCTGTGCTTATAATAGCCCTATGTGTTTGTATTCTACTTATTTATGCATTCGCATTTGGTTTATTTAGGAGATCTTTGCCCAGAAATGTTCCCCTATTAACTCTATATGGCTCTATATGGTAATTAATATATCACTGTGATATTCCATCTGTTATTATTTTTCCAGCATTTGCACCTATAAGCCCCAACCAAGATCAGAGCCTCATTTGGATCCCGTGATCAAAGCCTCTTTTGTACTACGGACTCCACATATGCACAGAGGGTAGCTGAGGTTTTTAGTCTAAACACTGAAACCAGGCAAGTGTCAGTGAAGGGATGGGTGCTGGCCCTTAGCACTGACCAGCCTGTTGAGCAGTGCTGAGGAAAATGTTGTAGAAGTCAGTCAGGCCCAGATCCCCTGCAGTCCCTTCACCATTCTTCCTCTCCTCAGTGCTGTAGCACTTCCAAAATGAGAGGCATGATATGACTGTGATTTCCTTGATGTCTTTGGGCTAGTAAATTACCTACCCAAGACCTTAGAAAGGGATGTAATGACTGTACCCAGGGCTGTCATCTTTTTGCTCATAAAGATGGAATGACAAAGCAACTTGGTAAGCAGGCTTAACAGCAAGGATAACCTAATGTGAGCCATAATTCTGTGATATTTTGTGCTCCAGCAAGTTCCTGTTGGGAGCAGTGGGAGCCAAAGTCCATAATCTCCTTTGTAAGAGCTTGGCAAACATGGGAGGTGACTACAGCAGTAATGGCACAAAAGATGCTTTAAAGCCCAGCCCTGGTTATGGAAGGAAGCTGGGAGTCAAGGCTCATGCCCACAGCAGAGGTGTAAGGAAGAGGGGAAAAAGGAAGGGGTAGTGTCAGTGTGGCTGAGGTTTATTAATCCAAAACTAAAAGTAAACATAAATAACCTGTAAAGAGTGTGGAAGTAGAAGGAACATTTTAATTCAGCTTTGCAGATTGTGGATAAGTGATTCTGGGAGGCCAGGGTAATTTTTTTAACTACTCTGGTGATGGTGATATTGCTGTGTAATCTGAAAGTAAAGAGAAAACTATATTTTGTTGGAATACTAATGTGTTAATAATTATAAAATATGCTTCTCCAAACTGCTGTCCAATGGAAGCAGCCTCCATAAGCAGTGTGGTGTTCATGCTGTCAGGCACTCATTATTTCTGTTCAATGGTGGCAGGAAGGCACCAGCTTAACTATAAATACTGACAGCAAGCTGAAAAGTCTTCTGTTGGAAGGGAAAAAAGTAAGGACAGACAGTTAAAAACCCACCTTTACAGTTTCTTGATGGTGAAAACAGAGGTGATGACACTTATGACACCCAGAAAATGCTAAGGAAACATGAAATGGAACAACCAGTTTCAATAGTTGAGGTGGGAACAAAATCTTTCCACCTGAAGCTATATTAAAATATTTTCTTTCAGATCTTCTTCCTTAGAGAAAGGAGACTTTGTGTGTGTGTGTCTGTGTGTGGTTGGGGATGGTGGAAAATAAAAATTTTCAGTATTTCAAGTTTGAAAATTAAAATATGTTTATTAATCTAAAATGTCCCATGGCAGTGGTACTCTATGGAGTTCCTCATGTTTCCACTCTGCTGCTTGGTCTGCATCTTTCCATCTAAACCTCAGAGCCATCTTTCTGCAGAAGCGGGATGAAGGAAGGTGCCATTCTGTGCTCTGAAACATAATTTGTTTGGATGATCTGTTAATTGCAAAGAATCCTGTGAACCCAGGTGTGTTGATATTTGGGCAATGCTTTTAGGGGAACAATTTCCCAAAGCCAGGGTGAAGGACATCTTTCAAAAATAGAACAGGAATGACAATTTCATAAAATTTTCCTGTGAATCATATGAATAATCTACCAAAAAAAATTAAAAAAATACCAGAGCTGGTTTTAAGCAGTTACCTCAGAGGCCATTCATCTGCTTTGTTTAGTCTCAAAGAACACCAAATACATCTTATTTCCAAAAGAAACATCCAAAGGAATAATCTTCCAACATGTCTCCACGTATTTGTGTTGCTGGTAGTTTTTTGGCCACAGATACTCATGCTGTGCAGGGCTTTGGCCTGAGGGTTACACACTTCTGGTACTGTGGGTACCAAATCTGCTTCTCTTGCATAGTGGCCTGGCTTTTGGTAAGTCAACACCAGTGGCATTTCAAGGTTGTCTTTAACCTTGGTTGGGCACCAGGCATCCTACTTGCAGGGCAGTTTAAAGGCCTAATATGAGTGCAGTGTGCCAGGTCTGGGGGCAGAATTTTTATTTTAAGTCACCTTAAAAGACATTTTTTGTTGAGATTTTCTTTTTTAGAGGGTTTTCACATAAACTACAAGGATGTTGAGAGAAACTTTTCTAATTTAATAAAGGTTTTTAAAATTCTCATTATGAAAATAAGAAAAAAGACACTATTGTTAATAGATGTGTCTTTGTTTTTCAGTTCACTGGTATCTAGAAACATTTAGAGTAATTCTTCAGATTTCTAGATGGGAATTTCTTATGCTCATGTGTAAATAAACCACAAAGCCACAAATAAGCACTTGCCACTTTGAGTGGGATTTTGAAAGCTAAATGCAGGGGCACAGTTGAACTTCAGAAAGAGTACTTACAAGCAAGGATTTGCAAGGATTTACTGACATTAAGGCTTGCTAAAGCATGGTTGTAACTTTAGCCAAAACAGTTATAAAGGGCTCTTGTGCTGATACCTCAAACATATCACCTTATTACTGCCTATATCCTGAAGTTTGAGAACTACCATCCAAGGAAAATTTCAGGACTTAGAGCACATGACTGGTAATAAGAAACATTCCACTTGAATATTCTATCAGTTTTGCCTTTATTTGTGGTGGCTCAGTCAAGAGCTGGATTGAAGAGCTCGTTTTAGAAAGTGGTTTCTTCCTCAACATCTCCAGTTCTGCCAGGGCAAAGGACAAATACTCAGAGAAGCACTGTGGCAGAGTTAGGAGGAGCACTGCAGCTTTGTCACTCCTACACTGGTGGGGTCAGGGAAAATGCAGAGTCTTAGGAAATACAGTGGTTTTACATACATGATGGAACCATATGTTAGTAAAGAGCCAGGATTTACATGTTGATTGGCCAAGACCTCACAGGCATCCCTCCAAAAGGGCCATACAGCTATGAGGGTGCTTTGCTTTATGGGGAGGGGCAGAAGAGGGACAAAGCAAAATTAATTTTGCTAAAATGGTTCTTGTCTTGCAAAAAGAACTTGGACATATTTTTTTCTTAAATTCTATGCAAATACTCAGGATAAATACTGTGTTTAAACTTTCCTGGCTGTTTCAGCAGGCAAGATAAAATCATCTTCATAACTACGAAGAACAGGCTTTCAGTCCAGATGCAACTTTTTTTCTTTATCTCTATGATTAAGCTTGTTTTACTAAACTTTATTTTATTGCAGCTTCCCAGAAATGCATGCTTTACTATACCAGACAAGAATAAGCAATGAGCTCATACGCAGAATAAAGTCTGGTTTATAGTTATGGAATATACATGCTCTGTGTTTGCTATGAGTTTAATATGTGTGTCATGCATTCTACTAAACAATTCAAGCATAAATGGAAAAGTTGGGTAATAATGGAAAGACTCTAAAGCTTTTGAATGCAAAAGGCCTTGGCAGAAACATAGGTAGGAAGTAAGAGCTTTGATGATGCTGTTTATACTTGCTTTTAATAACAAGCTCCCCAACAGCTGTTGGGATGTAAGAGCCTTTTTGATCATCAGGACAGGTATTTCAATTATCTGGTACACCTGACACAAGAAAAGATGCTCATTTTATTGAAAGCTGAAAACAGAAATACTACAGATTTTGTAACATATACAGAGAGAGCAGAATCATCCTGCAGGTTTAGCAATGCAGGTCTAGCTCCGTAAAATAACTTTAGCAGTGTGAATCATCCACCAGTTTCATATCAAAGGTGCATATTTACAAACAATGTGATGGTTTTCCTTACTGTCAGCAACACACAGTCTCCCTGGAAGTTGAAAGTCAAACTGTGCTGCTTTTGGCTCACACTTCAGCAACCATAAAATTGGCCCAGTAGAAGCTACAGTACAACCTATTACCCTGTCCACGGACTTGAGAGGGTATTGCTTCTGTCCCCTTGTGTTTGAGAGCGTAGCGCTTTTTAGGAGTTGGTGTTAATGTTGTTTGATTTCTTTCATCTTTGGACCTGCTGGTATCCTTTAGAGCTCAGACATCTCAAACTCTCTTCTCTGACATGACTAAAGGTGGAAGAAACAGCAGTCTCTGGCTTTACACCTTTCCAAGGAACAAAAATTGGCCCCAGATGGAAGCTGACTGTTATCAGCACTGAAACCCAGCAGTGCCATGGGGTTCCCAGAAATACATAATCCCCTTAAAGGGCTATCTGGAATATCTTGTTTCACCCAAATTGAAAAGTCCAAAATTAAACATTTTATTGGTAAATACTTAGAAAAGGACTTGCAACCAGACCTTGTTTAAACATTTTTTTGTCCTTCATACAATGCATTGTAGATGAAATGGGCAGGTTCTTGGACACTTGGATTCAGGCATGGCTGTACTGTGGTGGTAAAGCCCAAAGGCCTTGTCACTGTTGCAGTAACCAGTGATGAGTATTGGTTGATAGGAAAGAAGAGAGAAATCTGCAAATGCATGGGGCAAATAGCTCGCTTCAGGCTGGATTATTCCTTACACATCAGCTGTGCAGCTGCAGGAAAGCTCTGATGCCAGGTGAGGAACTGGCATAGTTCAATTGCCTGCACTCTCACCTGCTTGATTAAACACAGGCATTTGCCCATGTTCTCTAAATTACTTGGGATCATTTACAGTTGTAAAAATATGCTGTTACAAAAGCTTTGTTGTTTACCTTTAGGGATGAACATGTTCAGCCCTGACAATGTTATCTAGAGAGAACAGCAGCCCAAATCATCTCAAACATGCTTGCAATATAACACAGCTTCAGGCAAGGCTCACTGACACCAGTGCTGTGAAAGAAAGGAACAAAAATGAAGCGTCCATTACAATGAGCAGTGTGAGGCAGATGACACAATTTTGCTTGAACAACCAAATTTAAATAACTGAAAATTGCACCGCCTGTCCTTTTTTTCTAGTTCTCTGGAGGTGTTCTTTCTGTGGCAATGAATTAGTCCCAGGCTTTAACATAAAACAGCATGTAGCCCTGAAAGCTGTAGCACTGCCTGTCCGGACAGAGCACAAGGCTTCTGAAACATTGCCGTCTCGTGGCAGTCTCCTGGCACCACTGCAGCTGCTGTAGTACAAACAGCCTTGCCAAAGGTCACAGGCAGGTGTCACAGGCATTTAGTGGTAGGCAGGATGCACAGTGGAAACTTCCTCAAATTTCACAGAACTCATAGAGAGTTGGTTTTGTGAAAAAAAAAAAGGAAAATTAATCAGATGAGACAGGTGTCCAGTCAGATGATGACAAAGTAACTGAACTGCTGCCAAGTGAAAGGCAGCCCTGGATTCCCTTGATGGGTTTCTGTGCTTTCATGAGCCTCATAGCAGCCCTGAATTCAGTCACCTTGCTGAAGCAGTTCAGCATCTACATTGACAGTCAGGAAAGTTTACAGCTCGGGAAGGCAAATGGCCTGGGATGGTGTTCTCAGAATGGGAGTTGTCTTCTTTTCCAAACCAAACTTGCTGTACTGCCTTCAGCACACTGTGTTATACACACTCAGTACAAAATGTTACAGTCATTTTGCAGTAAATATAGGACAAAGATATCCTAAATAATGTGAATAATTTTTTTGCTTTTTTTTCCCCACCGACATTGAGTCAGGGATGTTTTCTGCCATGAATTGCTTTAGCACTCATCACTTAAAGGTAATCATTGTCTCTGTGTATAAATTACCATCATTCAAAATATTTTGGCACGTACTGTGCAGTTTGCTTTTAAAAGCAAATCACCATCTGTCTTAATTTTTGATATGTGAATTATTTTCTAGGATTACAGTCTTTGTAATTTACAAAACATTGGTCTAATGAGAGTCAGATTTCCCAGTCTGTGGCTAGGAAACACCAGTTTGGAAGATGTGTGTGGGTGCAAGTCTGACTTTTACATCTGGCAGTCTACACTGGGCCTTACACAGACCCTATCAAAGTAACTTGGTGGATTTCCACTGAGCTGTGATGAAGAATCTCTTTATCCTATGCCAAATATGTTGACCTCCTGTCCTGTAGTATCCTCCTGAGTTTATATGAATATCCCATATATTTCTGTCTGCTTAGAGCTATTGTAAGGAAGAAATCCTTGCCAGACCACAAGCACCAGTTCTAGGAAGGGTATGTATTTAATTGCACAGTGCCTCAAATCATGCCTGGCTTTTAATAAAGCTTAGAGAGGCTTTTCTATGCCTCACCCAGATGATCCAAGTCTGAACACAGGGGCTCCAAGTCAATGTCTGCTTCTATAAATGGAGATGTCCGTAGAAAAAGACAGGTGGGTATAGAATTTCACTATATACAACACATATTTGCTACTAAAGCACTTCCATATAAATGTAAAGCACTTCCATATAGATTTTACTGATTTATTTTATAAAATACAAACTTGACTACAGCTTTGAGCAATTACTGATGTTACTTCAATAAATTTTCTTCCCTCATGTGCCCTTTTCCACTCTAAGAAAAATTCAGTGACTAAACTTGTTCCCACTGCATCCGACCATTTTTTAAATTGGAACAATGACAGACTTTGGAGTTTCACTGGCTGGATTTCAGGGCATTTCAAGGATTAATAGATACCTTTACTAAAGACCTAGGACATGTTTCACCAGTGAGTGCCTGAAGGATAGGTCTCTCTGATTTTTATGAACTTCTGAGGATGCAAAGGCCATTTAGCAAATGTTAGTGCCATTAGCAAAATTAGTGGCAGCTCAGGGGTTCTGAAGCTCTGCTGTGTCATTTGTGCTTTAGAAGCTGTGTTCTCTAGCACTGGCCCAGACTGGCTCTAGAGAATGAATTTGACATGGTGCACCTTCTGTGCCTTGGGTAGCAAGGCAGCAAATACCAGGGCTGGGAGCTTACACTAGTTACGTAAGAGGGGAAAATTCCTTTTCTTTGTTACCTTCTCTGTTGTCACTAGAGCCCTGCTGGAGCCAGAATGCTTGCTGCCTTGTGAGATCAAGCCCTGTGATATGCAAAATACCACTCTGATGTATTTCATATCAGTGACTTTAGTAAGTAGTACGTGGTAGTCACACCAGCTCAATGAAAATCATGAGGAGGCAAAAAGAACTGAGGGCAAACACAGCTGTGATAATACTGGTTTTATAAGGGATTGCTATAGCTACTGGCCCTGGTATGGATTTGGAAGGCTAGGTAGTGCTGTAATTTGATGCCTTTCATGCCTTATTCACTCAAACATATATAGTTTTATTTTATGTACCCACACCTTATAACCCTTGGCTTCACGTGTCTGTGGCTGTAAAATACAAGCCTGTCATTTTCTCAGATTTCCAACCTTTTTCACTTCTGTCTGTAATAGGCCTTTTTTGCCTCTCACTTAAATGTAATCAGTTTTCCCTAATGATGTGATGCACTTGTAAGAATCGTTGAGTAGTGGCAAGTTGTTGTCTTTCTGTTGCAGAAAAATATAAAAATATTTGCTTCTCATGGCTCATGATTGCTGATATTTTTTTTTATCAGATTTTGTTTTCCTAATTCCTCCCCCTGTTGTATCTTCAGGTGAACCCAAGGACTATCTATAAACTCTCTCTTTATGATTTTGACATAAGCTGAAGCTTGCTGAACTGCCCTTCATGTTTGTTTTTGATATTTAATCTGGACATCCCTAAAACAGTAGAGTGCTTTGAGGCAGCAATAAGGTGCCAATCAGTTTATTAAGTCATCCTTCTATGAGCATGACAAGCTTCATCTGCTCTTGGAGCCTGACTTAATACAGCCAAGAAAGGCATTCACTTGCTTTTTATTTCTCCTAAATTCCAAGGCCAGTTAGTATCTAGTTTGCACTGCCCAAAACCTCTTATCAATTTGCTTTTGACTACGCACATGGGGTGAGAAGGGATATTTGTGCTTTGGGAGCTGGAGCATTGGCATCTACAACTTGTGGTAGCTCCAGTACCCAAGTCCAGACCCGGGCGTGGTTTTTACCTGGTCACAAGGCCTGCCAGAAATCAGGCATTTATCAGGGACTGAGGCTTCATAGACACAGAACAGCAAGACTGACCTGTTTAGAGTTGTATATTAGACTTACCTGTTGTGGATTTGTCATGGAGTTACTTTACCTTTAAGGGAGTTGGAGTTGCTGGGAAGTGCTTGGAGTCTTTTCTCCTGACCAATTATCGGTCATTGCTGAGAATTGACAGCAGTTTAGGCCATTGAAAAGTGGGATCAACTTGTGAACCCTACCTTAAAATGTAAAAGCAGAGCTCTCTGAGTTCTCTTTGTTTCCTGGCTGTGGAGGGTGGTGGAGCTCCAGGCCTCCCGTCCCTGCCCAGGCCATGCGGCCGGGCGGGGATGGGGCCGGGCCTGCCCCGTCTCCAGGCCGGGAGATGGGGGGGCCTGGGGAAGGTTTTCCCAGGGCCAGGCCGGGCCGAGCCGATCTCTGG